CGGGATAGTTCTAGAAACAAGAGAGCGTGAGAATTGTCACGTGATCTCGATGACGCAACAATATATTCGGAACAAGGTAAACATACCTACAACAAATTATTCACACTATAGATGTTATAGGCATATCATAAACATTATATATATATAAATAGTTCTCTTCTTGTTGTCAAAAGTCCACTTAGGCCTATTCAATTACTTTAGAATTGCAGTTGACAAGCCGAACTATCTTCTCTATTACTATCGCACTAGTATTCTGTGTGTGATTCACTTACAATTGTGGCGCGAGTTAGCGTAATCGTTTTGTCTTCTTTCCTCTGCAGATCTTCTGTTCCTTTTGTCAAAGTGCACTCAGGCCGATTCAATTACTTGAGAACCACGATTTGACGGAATAAATTATCTTTCTTATCTCCGTTTATACTGTTAGTCTCATTCTAACATTAAACGCCAGGCCTATCACTTCTACGGTATTTAACTTCACGCCGAACTTTTCCTTGGCCCGAAACTTTACTTTTTCTGCTATTATCTGTCTGCTGTTTCTGCTCGTCTCACGCTGTTTATATCTTTATCACATAATCGTCTGTCCGACTTCTATATTCTCGACGTCAATGTATTGCACGCCACGTTCAATCGTCTCAACATCAATGAATTATTAACAAAACCTCCCACAATCGTCTTCTCTTAAATGTTATTATAACAATAACTAAACTATACTAAAATATTCACTCACAAAAACAAATCAATCAATAACATCTAAACTAAATAGTCTTTTATATCATGACAATGTGAAATTTTAAGCGTCTTCTTTTTTTACCATTATTACAACTAATAATAATCCTGGTCACGGATTGAGTGCTGTGTCCACCGAGGGGAATCGAGCCCCTGATTTATCGTTGCAAATCCGATAACTTACCGCTGTCCCACCAGGGAACATTGGTCACGGTCATCTAGGAAAGGTTTAGTCCAAATTTTCTCTAGTTTTGGTTTGTCTGCAAAAATTATATTTAATTACTTTTTATTTCAGAGAATGTACTCAATTAACACTTGGGTTGAGGGATCATAACGTTTAGGAATACATTCTAGATAACCCACCGTTTTAATTCAATATCTTGATTTTATATACAAGTAACGCTACAATCAGTCACCTCTTAACAAAAAATAAAAATATACTTCATATTTTGCTAGTATCAAATACTTATAATAATATAATTTATATCAAACATTTATTCGTTAAGATACAAAATAGTTGAGAAATTGAATGACTATGAATATTTAATGTTTATGTTTCAGTGTTGTCACCCAGCAACATTTGGTTGGAAGAAATAATTACTACTGAACAATAAACAAAATACCATTTTGGTAAAAAATAACTAAAACATTAGTAACGTAGTTCGACTTCAGTCTCTTTAAGATTTTAGTCAAGTCTTTAAGGCTTCATAATACTATTTACATATCTCCAGAGACATGTTATCTCATATTTACATGTTTTACATAGGTTTATGGAGAAAATAATAAACTTACTGGTATGCATCAACTAGGATACTGTACATACTTTAATACCAACTTACTGGGTATGCATCAACTAGAATACTGTACATACTTTAATACTAACTTACTGGGTATGCATCAACTAGGATACTGTACATACTTTAATACTAACTTATGGGGTATGCATTAATTACAGCAGCATATTTTAATCTCAGTGCTACTTTGAAGTAACAATAGAAACAGATCATGATTCTTGCTACACACTTTTGAAATAGCTTATTTAGTATGAATAAACCTTTAGAATTTTGATGTGTAATATACATATATAGTTGTTCATTATTACATAATCTCAGAGTTTTAAAGGCAGGAGGAAGAAGAAGCAAGACTATTCCAGTTGTTTTAGGGTTCCAGTAAATTGTGACACGAGACAAGCACATTTAGGAATATATAGTTTGGATAGATTATCAAATGTCAGAAAGAACACGAGTATTTATGGTTACTAATAGTGTGTTTGTGCTGCCTAAAAACAACTAAACATATTTAAAAAATAATGTAAGCCTTCTGCAACAATGTGAAAGACAAATCCATGTTTTATTCTTTACTCCATGCAAACATAAAACATTATATTTATTACTACACTTATATTCAGCTGTAAATAGGTAAGTTAGATCGATTTATAAAAATATTATTCAGGATCCAAGCTTTCATGTTGTTGATTCCACTAGCTTCTTATTTCCCAATCACAAACAAGTGCCACCTGGCAGTGGATTCGAATGTCAATTCTTCTTTAATTGAAAACTCAATCTTATTGTCAATGTTTCCAACAAAGTGCATGCGGGGTGCAATTTGCCAGTTTATGGCATTTCTATGAGCTCTAGCTACTATATGCAGTATAAATGCTCCAATGACCACAAGCGATGCTGGTATCCAGTGAAGTACTAGGAGCTTGATTATGTCATAAATCAAGGTGTGTAACACAATTGCTACTTATATTATTTAAGCATTAAATATGTATTCATAATTCATATTCCTTTTATGTGAACAACATCCAGGAAGCAGCTTATATGTAGCACTGACTTGTAACTTTTAATTTATACAGAATAAAATCATAAGACTGAATTTTTACTGTTGAGAATTAACTACTCATTTACTGTTATGTGCCTACTAGCTTGCCTCAAATGTCACAGACAATCAAATACAGTTTGATTGATCAACATTTAGGCTGTTCTATTCAGTCCCTCTAGGAATTAATTTAAAATCATTTATAACTTTACATGTTCAAGAAACTATGCTACAATTTTTAAATATTCACTAAGTATATTTATTTTAGCTTTTAATATTTTTAAACTACACACTTTAAGACATGCTTCATTGTTTTGTGTTTTAAACTTTTTTGATTATCATTACTATTAAGAAATGACACTTTTGAAAATGTTAACAGAGAAATAAAAAAGTGACTTTTTGTGGTCTTAGACTGACAAATTAAATTTTAATTTAAAAACGGAAAATGATTTCACTCACAAGTTTTTAAGTCTGATGTATATACAAACCTGCTGTACTATTTATATTATTAAATATAGCTGTTGGTTTGTCCTGAGAAACGTCCCCCCCCCTCTTGGTTCTATTTGCTTAAGTGCATCGAGCTGTGTCGACATAAAGGCATTTTAATGGATATTTCCTTTTTATTGTCGAAAATCTCAAGAGTACATCTCTGGTGTTATTTGTTGTTGTTTTTTATCTTGTTGCACTAAATCTGTTGGCCATTGATGAAGAGAAAGATTCATTAATAATTATGTATCACTGATGATACTTTTTTTTTAGAAGGCGATATGGAAGCGAGAAGTCGTTGAAAAGTTAAGCTCTTATAGATTGTTAAAATTATTTAATATTATCATTTCTAGTAATTTGGGTTAAATAACAAAAGGATAATTAGACTTAGTATGATCGGTAAATAAAAGTAAGATGTTCAAAGTTTTAACTTAGAGTTTGGTGGTGATAATTGTACTAAACGTTAAATTAGGCTTAGTAAGTGTAACGGTACTTTAGGATTGGCTATAATACAACTTACTGGTAAATCGTAAAATAGGTTAATACATTGTTTTATTAAATAAGTACAATCTAAAGACTATTGTCTCCTCGTGTTTTAAGGATTAATTTGTTTACTTAAGTTGAACTTAGATCCATTGGTTTAAATTCAGCTTATAGTTATAGGTAGATTATAATATAACTCAAGATAAATACTGTTACGACAGCGGGGGTCACGTGACGCTAGTAACACGTTATGAACTTCTAGAAGGATCCTGTCCCTTCCTGAAGTCTCGAGAGGCTACTAGATATGCGGTAGTCTTGTATATATTAGCCGCCATAAAGTGATGGCAACAATGGGTAATTGAACTGCAGAGAGAGAGAGAGAGAG